CCCGCTGTTACGCTCCAAAGGGAAGAGGTTGGCAACCGTGAGTATAGAAACAACTCACACGAATGTATCTCCTTCATTTCGGCCAGTGGTGCGACGATACTCCCACCTGTTCACAGGCGATGATGACCCCTACGGGTTCTGTAACTGGGTCGAATACGAAATTCCAATGAAGGCAGGGAAATTTCGAGCCCATGTTTCACGTCGAATTCCACTACCCCTGATGGATGAAGTCAAGCGACAGGTCGAACAAATGTTAAAGGAAGGAATCATCGAAGAAACTCGAAGTCCGTATAACTCACCCGTGCGGCTGGTGAAAAAGCCCCATGGTAAATTTGGGTTCTGTGTGGATTTCCGCCAAGTAAACACTGTGACTATAAACAAGCCAGTCCCAGTCCCGACTGTGGCGGTGGATCTACGATCGGGATATTGGTAATTACCAATGAAAGAAGCTGATCTAGAGAAAACGGCGTTCACAGTCGGAAATGAACAATATCAGTTCAAACGAATGCCATTCGGATTATCAGGAGCACCATTTACATTCCGCCTTCTCAAGTTAAAGTTACTCGAAGGTGTCCCCAATGTGGTGGTCTATGGCGACGATATTGTTGTCTACGATCAAACAACAACCGAACACACATTCCACTTGAAAAATGTTCTGAAAAGAATCCAAAAATATGGCCTTCGGATCAATGCAACGAAGTCCCAAATTGGGAAGGCGACAGTGACTTTACTCGGACACAAGGTTGGAAACGGAGGAGTGAAACCAGTCCCCGAGAAAATCCTCAAGCTAAAGGAGTTCGCACGCTCAACATCGAAAAGAACATCAAGACGGTTTCTGGGCTGTGCTGCATACTATAGCCGGTTCGTTAAAAACTTTACGAACATCGCTGAACCGTTGTACACCTTACTCAGAAAGGAATATCGCTTCAATTGGACACCAGAAGCCCAGAAAGCCTTTGATGAACTCTAAAGGATCATGACCGAACAACACCTGACACTGAAGTTGCCGGTAATGGTCGAGCACTTCGCATCGGTAATGGATGCTAGTGACGTGAGAGTGGGAGCCGTACTCAAACAAGCAAGTGGAGTGGTAGAATATGCAAGCAGAGTCCTGACTCCAACGGAAAGGAAATATTCTACCACGGAAAAAGAATGTCTTGCTATCGTTTGGGTCGTAGACAAGTGGTGGCCATACCTTCTGGGTCAAAGGTTCCATTGGGAAACAGATCACAAGCAGCTGGAGTGGATTAAAACCACCAAGGACCCGAGAGGAAATCTTGCCCTATGGGCACTTCGCCTTCAGGAGTACGACTTCACGATCAATCATGTTGCAGGTGTTGAAAACTCTATGGCGGATATTTTGTCTCGTCAGGATGAAGCAGATTCCTTCAATACCAGTATGTTGGAAGCGGAACAAAACCCACAAGAATTGGTGAAGGAACAACGCAAGGATCAAGAACTTCGCAAAGTGATCGAGGCAATCTCACAGGGTAACCAATACCGAGACATTCAACATAGTACACACATGAAGTCATGGCAGTCCGTATGGAAGCAGCTTTGTTTGAATGCCGCTGGTATCTTAATGAAACGACAGCCAGGAACAAGGTGCCCTGTGGTCGTCAATCCGAAACAACTGCGCCAAATTCTAATCAAAGAAAGTCATGAACTAGCACACACTGC